TGTGCATGCCAAAATATGACCCAGGAGCTGGAGGCATGCTCTGGCTTTGGCCACGGGGAACCTTGTGACTGTGCTGAGCAGCTCCCTTAGGGTCTCGAATCTGTCCGGTGGGAGGAAGGCCCTGGCCGACGTCGCGTCCAGAACTGCCCCAATAAACTCTATGCGCTGCACCAGAACTAACGTGGGCTTGTTGTCGTTTATCAACAGGCCCAGAGGGGCGCACGTGGACAAGAGGAGCGCCACGTGATCTCGTACCTGCGACCTGGAGCTCCCCTTGATCAGCCAGTTTTTCAAGATAGGGGAAGATCTGGACCCCGCGACGTCTGAGCTAGGCCGCTACCACAGACATACACTTTGTGAATACCCTGGGAGCAGTGGACAGGCCAAACGGGAGGACCGTAAATTGGTAGTGTTCCTGCCCAAATGTGAAACGGAGGAAACGGCTGTGTCCCTTGAATATATGAATGTGGAAATAGGCGTCCTGTAGATTGAAGGTGGCATACCAGTCCTTGGGATGGGATAATGGAGGCCAGAGAGACCATGCGAAACTTGAGCTTTACCAAGTACTGGTTCAGGCCTCGCAGGTCCAGGATGGGCCTGAGCCCACCTTTGGCCTTCAGGATAAGGAAGTAGCGGGAGTAGAACCCCTTGTGTCTGAACTCTGCTGGTATCACCTCCACCGCTCCTAAGCCAAGGAGCTGCCCCACCTCCTGCGTGAGCAGGGTCTCGTGAGAGGGGTCCCTGAAGAGGGATGAGGATGGTGGGTGAGTGGGAGGGATAGAAGTAAACTGGAGGGTGTAGCCCCGGGAGATGGTGTTAAGGACCCATTGGTTCAAGGTCAGCTGCGACCACTCGGGGAGAAAAACACACAACCGGTTGGAGAAGGGAAGCTTTATTGCGGGTGGATCCCTGGTATGATCTCATCCAGGGCGTCTCATCAAAACTGATGCTTTCCTGCCTGTTTACCCTTGGAGGGCCCAGGTTGGGGTGCAGACTGGGATTGCCTCTGTGGGTGTTTCTTATAGTCCCTAGACTTTTTATAAGGGGGCTCATATTTAGAGTGGGTGGCTTGGGTGGAAGCCTGCTGCGGCTTAAACTTGGTCCTGGCCAGGGCTGGGACAGATGCCAAGGGTCTTTAGTGTTGTGTGGGAATCTTTCAGGACAAGCAATTTCACGTCCGTCTGTTCCACAAACAGGGCCTTGCCATCAAACGGAAGGTCCTGTAAGGAGTTCTGTGCCCCGCTGGACAACCCAGACAACAGGAGCCACAACGCCCTCCTCATTGACACCGTGGAGGTCATAGACCTTGCAGCCATATCTGCGGCATCTGAGGCTGATTAAAGGGACACCCTGGCAGCAGCCATACCCTCCTCCATCAAAGCCTTGAACTCTTTTTTGTCACGCTCTTGGAAGGAGTCCTCGAATTTAGGCAGAGAGCCCCACAAATTGAACTCATATCTCCCCAGGAGGGCTTGGTGGTTCGCCACCCTCAGTTGGAAACTTGAGGACGAATAGACCTTTCTCCCAAATAGAGCCAGCCTTCTCGAGTCATTATTCTTAGGAGTAGGGGCTGGTTGGCCTTGCCTCTCCCTGTGGTTGACCGACTCGACCACCAGGGAGTTGGGGGCAGGGTGGATGTACAGGTATTCATGCCCCTGGGTGAGCACGAAGTACTTCCGTTCTGCCCTCTTAGAGATAGGGGGCAAGGAAGCCGCGGTTTGCCACAAGGCGTTCGAGATCTTTGCCACCCCATCATGGAGTGGGAGAGCCACCCTGCCCGGTGCTGAAGTCGAGAGGACGTGGAAGAGGGAGTCCAAGGGTTCCTCCACCTCCTCGGCTTGAAGGTTGAGGCTTGATGCTACCCTTTTCAACAGTTCCTGGTGGGCTTTAGAGTCCTCCTGCGGGACAGGCGGAGGAGGGGCTGTGATCGTTTCATCTGGGGAGGATGAGGATGGGGTGCAGTACTCTGAGTATCCACCAGTGCCGCAGGTCAACCGCTTGGTCCCCCTCCGGGCGCAGGACCGGGGATGAACGCTCCACCGACTCCTTCCTGGGAGGTTGAGAAAGGGAGGCCGACGATCTCTCCAAGGCTTCGGCCACCAAGCGAGCCACCACCGGGGGCTGCGTTGGGGGCCACGGGGCCCATTGGTACCATGGTGTCGGCCAAGGAGCTCGGTGCCACTGCATCTGCTGTGGCACTGGCAGAGCAGGCTATTCAGCCTAACTAGCCTGGCCCATTGACTGACGACTGCAAAGAGAGGCCGGACTGGCATACAATCTGCCGCTATCCCGGGACGAGCGGTGGTGTTGGGAACGGTGCCAACCATAGGACCGTGATCCCGGCATGGAGGAACGGGGTACCGCCAATAGCAGTTGCTCCGCGACCGGCTCTGATGGGCGGATCCACGATGGTGAGGTGCTGGCGATCGACGCCTGGGACTACAGGAGCAGTGCCACGGCAGGGACCTCGAGCGAGACGAAGAACGGGAACGGCATCAATGCCCGTACCGTGAAGGGCTACGGTAGCCTTTCGCAGACAAAAACCTCTGGTGCCATCTGTCCTGGTCCCGACGGGGCACGCTTTCCTCATGAGGTCTACAGTCCCTCGAGGCACACCAGTGCCTGGAATCCCTTCCAGTCGGTACCCAGCCAGACAACCTGGTGGGGGTTGATGGGGACCGGCGTGGACTGTGCACAAGGCGGTCGCTGAGCGGGGAATGGTGTCGGGAACCTTCCCTAGACCGTGAATGGTACCGTCCAGGCGGCAACTGCAGGGATCCAAGTGGTGGCTTGCCTCTGGACTGGGGAGCAAATGGTGGCGGTGCCCCTGGTACTGGCAGAGACAAAGTCCCAGGCCGCTTGCAGGGCCTCCAGCGTGGATGGCACCCAGACATCCGGGGAGGTCGGCTCAGAGTGGGCCGGGCTACTCCACTCAACCTGAGTTGGAGGCCGGGAGGCTGATGGGGACCGAGTACTGCCCAACATGGGGCTAGTCTCCCCCCGTCTCGGTGAAGAAGACCTCTTCTTAGCCTTTTTGGAGTGTCCCGTTGACGGGGAGTGGTGCCGGCTGGTGGAAGGCACCGAAGGGTCGCTGCACAAGGACGCCGTGGTGCTCAGTGCCAACTCGGAGTGGCGCAACGGTGTCACAGTCAAGGCTGACTCCATCAAAATGGCTTGGAGCCGAATGTCCCGCTCCTTCTTGGTCCGAGGCTTGAAGGATCTGCAAATCTAGCAGCAATCGCTGAGATGGGTTTCCCCCAGACAGCGTAAATAGTCCGCGCATGGATCACTCACAGGCATCAGCCGCTTTCAAGTGTTGCACAACTTAAAGCCCAGGGCACCGGGCATGCCCCGACCTGGGCGCACTAAACTAACTCTAAACTAAATTACTTTCAACTACAGGTACTACTAACCATTAACTAACTGAGTCCAAGAGGGAAGCTGCAGCCAAGCTGGAGCAGAGCAGTTCCAATGTACCTTCACTGGCGGCAAGAATGAACTGAGGGTGGGGAGAGCACACAGCCCCCCTTATACCACGCCACGGAGGCGCCACTCCAGGAGTTACTAGGGGCGCTCCCTACGGGTACTGCTAGGGGGAAAACTTCTGGCACCGCTGCACATAGCGAGCACGCACACCTATAGTGGAAAGCAAATGAGCAATCACTCGAAGAAGAATATAAAGTTACTGCTGATAAACATTGCAGACAAAGATTGGCAGAGTGGTAAATAACGATGACTGGGCAATCACACAGCACAATCCTGATCATTTGGTAAGCTGAGTCCATTCAAACAAAATGTGTTTTATTAAAGACAGGTGCAAAGTTATGCATTTAGGAATAAAGAATATAGGCTATGCCTGCAGAATGAGGGACTGTATCCTGGAAAGCAATGACTCTGAAAAGAATTTAGGGGTAACAGTGGACAAGCAACTGAGCACAAGCACCCAGTACAAAGCTGTGGCAAAAAGGGCTAATGCAATCCTTGGAGGGAATAAAGAGGGGAAAGTAGAAGTGGGGAGGTGATTTTACCTCTGTATATGACAAAAATGAGACTGATACTGGAATGCTGCGTAGATGTGGAGTCCACTTTTTTAAAAAGGATGTTGCAAAAGTGGATTGGGGCGCAGAAAAGAACCATAAAAATTATTTGAGCTCAAAAGAAAATACCTTTAAATCTCCTGCCATATGAGCTCAATCTGTTTAGTTTATCAAAAAGAAGAGAGGTGTCTTGATTACAGTGCCTGAGTACCTTCATAGAGAGAAAATAAAGGCTATTGAAGAGCTCTTATCTAGCAGACAAAGGCATAAAAAGAACTAACACCTGAAAGTTAAAGCCAAACAAATTCAAATTAGAAGTTAGGCAAAAGTTTTTAATAGCGATGGTGATTAACCAATGGAACAAGAGAAATGATTGAATCTCCATCTTTTGGCTTCTTCATATTAAGACTGGAGGCCACTTGCGACTTGATTCTGGGCCCTACTATTTCTTTTATAATCTCTTCATTGCTGAAGATGTTTATGAAGCCGTTTGCAATAGTTAAATTTAATACATGGAAGTGCTACTTTGGTGCAGCTGCACTGCTGAGGCACATCTGGTGAAGACGCTCTATGCCAACAGGAGAGAGCTCTCCCATCTGCATAATTATTCCACCTCCGTGAGAGGCGACGTAACTTCAGTGTGGACTGCGCTTAGGTTGCTGTAACCTGTGCCACTCAGGGGGGGGAGGGGGAGGGGGAGGCGTGTGGCTTTCACACTCCTGAGTGACTTAAGTTATATCAACATAAGCGGTAGTGTAGACCTGCCCAAGATCACAGACCACCCCCCACCCCCAAAATCTATCAGATGAAATTAGCAATCTGGAGTTCCTAATTTGTACTGTGCTCTCACTACTCCCTATTTAAAGAAGTTTGCCTTTGGGTATTTGCCTCAAAATTATGGAAAGGTCAACATTAAAGTCTAAATATTTTCTAATCTTTTAGAAGCATTTTATCAAATTTTACCTCTTCAACCTGGCCATCTTCACCTCCATCTTTTTCTTTGTCTTCCTCTTCATCATCATCATAATCTTCTTCCTCATCTTCTTCTTCTTCAGAAGATGTATCTCCAGCTCCATCAACTTGGAGTACAAGTGGTGCTTGTGGTTGCGCCTGTTGCTGTGGTTGCTGCTGACCGGCAGCAGTAATCTGTGCTTGTGCCGGTGTAGGAGCTGCCACTGTTGTGGGTATGACCTGTGTTTTGTTCCCTGTAAATAGGATTTGCTGCGGCTGAATAATCACTCCTGTCTGCTGGGAGATCCCTCCAGGGATAGGAGCCAAAACCTGACAAAAGGGTTTTATATTAGCAATCGTGCACACACAATACTAACAGAATAATTACTTACTGAAAACATTTGAAACCTGTCACTTCTTTATACTACTTCAAGGAACACAATCACAAACAGTTATCAAACACAAAAAAGTAAACAACGATTTTTATAACTTCACTTTTAATATTGTGATAACTTTAAAAAAAATTGGTAACACTGGATGCAGATCAGGTAGGAAGATCCTGCACAGAAACCAAAGATATGGATTTTTTTAAGGCATCAAATACATTTTTAAAATCCCCATTTCTTTATGAAGCTCTGTCAATTTTTCAGAGCCATTATTGGCATGCAATTCAAACAAAAGAACACACACCCTTATACTTAAAAATGCAAACAACTGGAAAACCTTCCTACTGGGTTAGTTTTAAGTATGAGCCCACTTATTCAAAATGTCCCTCTTTACCTGCTGTATAACAGGAGCTTGTACACCACCCGGCTGCATCTGTGGTATAACCTGTTGCTGTAGAACCACTGGCTGCTGTTGCTGAATGATATACTGAGCTCCATTTGCAGTTCTAACTACCTGCAGGATCTGGCCTGCAATGAAAACAAAACCACTTAAAATGTAAAAATCCACATCTAAAATTATCATCTTTTTCAAAGTTGGTCACCTGGAAAAAGACTGAGCATAATTAAGATAGAAAGTTCATCCTACACTTCCACCAATAACAGGTTGAGAATTTTTATTATTTTTAATACTTTAAACACACCACATCTACAGCTTCAAAACAACAAGTCTTCAAAGCTCTGGACAGGACTCTAAAACCCAACCATATGTTTACAAAGGGCATAAGGCAAGAGTAGTTTAGGAAAGAGACAACAGGCAGGTTGCTAACAGGTGATACAAGGTCTCACATGAGGCCAAAGATTAACTCACTAAAGCAGCACAGCAATCTTCTGAATATTCATTCCCTACATATGAAGAGTGTATTTCATGTTTCTGCAAGGTCCCTGTTTAAAAGGACAGAAGCCAATAATGTAGATATACACAAAGAAATTACACTTTATATCCTATTGTGTAGGCTTCTATCCGCTGTTAAACAGATGCTGTATTCCAGCATTGAGTACATTTCAGTGTTGGGAAACTATCTTTTTCTTTTTAACAAAACATGTGAAAAGCCCAAGCATTTTTTCCACTGAGTCTACTAACTTCATTGACTGCACTAAAGGATAGCTAATTCTTTAATTTCTGTCCGCTGACAAGGCCAAGATGAGGCCAATAGAAGAACAACTCCTATAGGATTTTAGAAATTTGATAAAATCCATTCCACTTTTGGGGGGGGGGGTGGCAAGGGAATAATATTTTTACCTTAAAAGATGATCAGTTGCAAAGTGTAGAATACCATTTTTTGTGTATATGGCAAACAATCCTGTAAAATATAGTTGTCTCTCTTGCTATTCTACAGTGTCTCAGTTTCACCACCTTTACTATGCTTGACAGGAAAACAAAGATACAAGGGAGATAAAATTTGCTGAACCATGACTGGGACAAAAAAGGTATAAAAAGGCAGGTATGAGTGCCTTTTTATACTAGGCCTTCACTCCAAAAGAAAACAATTTCAAAGATTCTTTTGCTCTGCATCTCCCCCACAAAAGCACCATGACTGCGAGCACTAAAAGCTGTTTCAGACAGAAAACACTTCACAATTTAGATTGGTCTTTTTACATAATAAAACTACTGGATTTGTTTTCGAACAAAAAAAACAACAACAACAATTTGTTGTTTTCCCAGCCATTTTTACCTCCTGGTTGACTTCGAGTTGTCCCTTGCAGACCTCATCAGGGCTGTTAGACAGCATTGTGACATGTGAATATTTTAAGCTTACATTCTTAAATTTACTTCTAACATTTGGAGTAAGGAGACAGCTTTAGATTAAGGTAGATAGGGAGTGTGGCAATTTGTTCTGAGGGCACTAAGGGGGACAGGGAATGGTTAAAGAAGAGCTCAAGCCCTTGGTCCTTGACTGTTTTGGAATGGGCTTCTAGGGTTTCATGTGCCAGGAGTCAGAAGGGCAAATGCTCCGAGGGGGAGCAACTCAAACTCAGTATATACTTATACTCTATATTTGGCTTTTATTATAGTTACCTGCTCACATTTTTAAAGGTGACTGAGGAAAATGCAAACTAACTGCTGTGACTGCCCTTCGAATAAATCCACAGCACAGGGGAGGGGTAGATAGATTGCAGTATTGATCCTAAGTACAGGCAACAAGACTATCATGATGCCAAAATTGATGGGCTTTGCAAGTGGAGAACGAATTCCGAAGCAAAAAATATTTAAATTACTTTTCAGCAATATCCTTATGCTCTGTAGATAAAAGCCTAGCAAGGACAGATTAGTACTCAGAGCAGAAGGGGAACCTTCCCTGCCTCTGGAACTTACAACTTCGAAGTTTGAGCTCCATTTGTACAAGTCTGTATATAATACATCCTCTAACTTCATTTATTTTTCTTTATAAAATGTCAGCATCAACTACTTTAAGTAACAGTTTATTATGTCTGTTCACTTTCATCTTCCTTTCCCTTCTCTAATGCCACTTTCTGTTATTTAGGTTCTTGCATGTCCCTGATTTCCATAATATCTAAACTACTTTTCTTTCCATGTATTGTGTGTCTTTTTCTTTTCAGTTTGAGTGTTACGCAATTCTTTCTCCATCCCTCCTTTCCATGATACAGTCTCTCTTTATCCCCGTCTCTTTCATTACCCATGGCACAGTCCTACCACCTTATCCCGAATTCACAAACATGCAATAGTCCCATGTTTCATCTCATTGCAGCTGAGATGCCTGTAAAGATGGTCACCAGCTCTGTACAATGGGTATAAAGTTGCAGACAAAACATACCCCAGCTTCAACTTTTCCACTTTCTTATCAGAAAGACAAAAGGAGGAACTGAAGTGATATCCAGATGACCCTCACCTCCATCATATCCTGCTAAGAACGGGTTTAGCTTCCTGACTCCATCTACAGCATAAACTCAGTGGTCAGGATCCACACATGCAAAGAACTGAACCTTGGGAGCACAATCTCCCTAGGAATCCGTGCATTTCCACCCTCCCCCTCCATTTGAGAAAACACTATAGGTATGGCTGTGTGTCTGTCACGGAGGCCCCAGATTCCGTGACCTCTGTGACTTCTGCAGTGGCCAGTGCTAGCTCAGGAGCTGCCCAAGCAGTTAGGGTGTGGGGGACTGGGCTAGGGGCAGGGGTGTGACATTATTTCAGGATTGGAGGCTCCCTGGTTCCCACCGGTATGTCCCTGTAGCTCCTAGGTGGAGGGGCCAGGGGACTCTGCGTACTGCCCGCACCTGCAGGCCCCGCCCATGCAGCTCCCATTGGCTGCGGTTCCCGGCCAATGGGAGCTGCGGAGCCGGCACTTGTGGCGGGAGCAGCACGCGGCGAGCCGCTGCCCGCCCTTCCCTCTAGGAGCTGCAGGGACATGCAAAGCTGGGTAGGAAGCCTGTCAACCCTCCCCCCCAGCACCAGCGGGGGTTCCAGGCTGTGCGCCGCTGCGCACCCCCTCCCAGCACCAGCAGGGTCTCAGGGCACACCCCAACCCCCCCAGCATCCACGGTGCCCCTGGACTGCCCCCTCGCACCCCCGTTTTAGTTAGGGGTATATAGTAAAGTCATGGACAGGTCACGGGCCGTGAATTTCTGTTTACTCCCCTTGACCTGTCCAGGACTTTTACTAAAACACCTGTGACTAAAACGTAGTCTTTAACTATAGGGCAGCACTTCATAGGTGGAGAAAGATCGCTGGCCATGACATAAATAATTTGTGATTGATACTATGGTATACACTTGTCTTCCTGAAAAACTAAAAGAGGAATTTTGTCCTTGTATTAAGATCTGGAAGTTTCACCTTTGCTCTGAATCAGATTTCTACACTGTTATAAACCTCAACTTTACTATTTCAGACAAACTATTTTCATTAAACATAGCAGTCTTTAAAGCCGTCTCTTAATATAATGTTTATATTTTCAAATAGTAAATAGCTGAAAAACAATACTGTTGGAAGTGTGTTTAATAAAATCTTTTAAAGTTTTATGCTGGTAAAGTAGCACTGTAATACATATACCTCAAGAACTGTATGGTAGACTCCCTTTACTACAAAACTCCTTCCTGATTTTTAAATGTTTCACATTAAATGTAATAAATTACGATTTGCAAATCAAATAGCTTGTCTATAATCCATTTAATGTTATAGTAATTACCTGAATTTGTAAGTATCTGCTGAACAGGAGTAACACCAGCAGGCAAAGCCAAGGTAGCTGCTGTGGCAGCTGCACTCTGAAAGATAAGAGACCTGTTTTTAACAGCCAGCATTACTGCCAATGCTTTGCATCACAACACACTAGCTGAGGATTAAAGAATAAGCATCTGTTGTGGTGAAGTAGGACAAATGTACACAATCACCATAGCTTCTATAGATAAACAACATTTACTCATAAGCAAGTTTCTGTGATGTTAAAAGGAAGATGACTAATAGTATAAAATGCATATATTAGCTATCATAGAAGCGAAATCTTTCTGATTTCTATTTGCCTGCTTTGATGGTCTCCCTTCATTCTACGTGCATCACAAGTCAACTCAATTCTGCTTTATTTCCAAGTTTGCCAGAAAAGCTCTGGGAATAAGTTTTGTTCATCTGTGCTCCCTCTGCTGGCCAGCTGTTGAGTAGCGGAGCTCTACACCCAGCTCTCCAAGTTAAAGTTAACCAGCCTCTCTGAATACGTTATCTGATTAATAGAATAGAAAAAAACTCAAGGCTTAAAGTTAATTGTTCAAATCCTGGAATAATGCCAATATCCAGGGTAAAAGAAAGTAAGTTCCTACGAGTTTCCTAAAGAACATCGAGACAACATATAATCATCTGATAACTGACACCATACTCAATGAATATAGTGCAGTTATTTCTGTTTTCTAGACAAGATCATATTGTAGAATACAATAAATAGGTCATGTGTGATCTTTTCCTGGATCATCTATGCTAAGTTTAAGCTAAAATCAGTAGCAACAAACTTTTTGGGGGGGGGGGCAGGAGGGGGGTGAGCACAAGGGCCCTCCCACTTTTCACTGGGGTGCACCATGCCCCTTTCCCCTCTTCTTCCCCCTCCCC